AGATCAAGAGTCAGATGCTTAACCGACTGAGCTACCCAGGCACCCCAGGAATAGATTCTTAGTATAGGTATTAGGTATAGAATATGTACCCTAATTCTACTGTAGTTTCTTAATTTGTTTTTTTATGACTGAAAAAGAACCTTTATGAATAGGCTTTATTGACTTTCTCGTATAGTATTTGCCAATTCCAGATTGCCTTTATTAGCCATTTCAGAAACAGAAAAGAACATAGAGAGAAATTATATTTGCATCGAATAATTACTAGGCTTAAAACTCATTCCTGAAGGAATTTGCTCTTAACTCTTGCCTGAGTTTACAATGTACTATGATTGGATAAATGTGGCTCTGGGTAGAGTGATCTTAAAACCTTTTTTTTTAAATCAAGTTTGATAATGTTCATAGATTAAAACTATGTAATTCTGTGAAGTCTGAAGTTGAAAACCTGCCCTCCCCCACATCCCACCAAGATTCTTTGATATTTATTCTTCATTGCTACCTTGTGGCTTACCTCGCTGATAGTGGATTTGTTTAGTTTTCATCCCCTTTCTTTCCTTCCATTGTGTGAACTCAGTGGGCCCTTTTCATTTGGAAGCTCTTCAGTTTTATTTTTTTATTTTTTTTAATGTTTTATTTATTTTTGAGAGAGAGAGACAGCATGAGCAGGGGAGGGTCAGAGAGAGGGGGAGACAGAGAATCTGGAGACAGGGTCCAGGCTCTGAGCTAGCTGTCCGCACAGAGCCTGACACGGGGCTCGAACCCACAAACCGTGAGATCATGACCTGAGCCGAAGTCAGACGCTGAACCAACTGAGCCACCCAGGCGGCCCTATTTTATTTTTATTTTAAAAGTATGTATTATGTTGATGATCGTTCTTCCTTCTTCCTTTTTCTTTTTCTTGGTGACATGTCTGACATTTAGTTTCTAGACCTCTTGGACTACTCTTGTAAGGTTTATACTGGTCTTTACCATTTTCCATCTTTGTCTTTGCTGCTGCTTGGTGGGAGAGTTTTTTAGTTTTTATCTTCCAATCTCGGTCAAGTTTTTCATTTTTACTATCATATTTTTAGTTTTCCAAGTTCCATTCTATCTTTTGAATTATTTTAACATATCCTTTACCCATTTCAAGGACACAGTATATTTTCTTAACTCTGCCGAAGTTTGAATTTTTCTGCTCTCAGGTCAGTGGTTGCTTTCTTTTTTTTTTTTTTTTTTTTAAATATTTTTATTTATTTCTAGGAGAGAGAGAGAGACAGCCTGAGCAGGGGAGGGTCAGAGAGAGAGGGAGTCACAGACTCCGAAATAGGCTCCAGGCTCTGAGCTGGCAGTCAGCACAGAGCCCGACGCGGGGCTCGAACCCACGAACCGCGAGATCATGACCTAAGCGAAAGTCGGTCGCCCAACCAACTAAGCCACCCAGGCGCGCCCCTAGTGGTTGCTTTCTTGAGGTTGTTTTCTGTTTGTTGGGCTCTCAGACTCCCAGAGAAGGCTCTTCATTCTCCCTCCCCTGGCGTGGGCTGGACACCTCAGCCTTAAGTGCATAAGTGATCCTCCTAACTGCCCCTCAAAACTCTGCTCTGTCAAGTGGAACATTTCTAGTTTTTTGCTGGGATTTGAGGAGGGCCGCCGATTTGAGGAGGGCCGCCTATTTGAGGAGAGGGGATGTGGCGATTGGGCTGCTCCTTAGTGAGAGTTCTGTCATCTTCCGGTTCTTCGCTCCAGCTTCAGCGCTCCTATTATTGCTGACAGTCCTCAGTTTTTTGTTTGGGGTGGGTGTGGGGGATGGAAAGATCTGCAGCGTAAATTGATTCCTTTTCACCTGGGATTTGCTAAATCCCTGACTGCTTAGCCATATGCTTTGTGGTTTCTAAATTGTTTCCTTTCCCCTTTTCTTCTTCCTTATGAGTTCTATATATTTTAAACTCTACCATATTCTAGAATATTAGGAGGGGGTAAAACTATTTGATTACAGTAATTCCACCACCTTTATCTTTGTCTAGAAGTTTTTGTTCTTTCAAGTGTGTTATTTTTTTTTTCAGGTGTTTTTAAAACTGTAAGCAAAACTTTATTTTGAGGCCTACATTATTACAGTAGATGTAACTTTCTTATATTTTCAGTTTTTAACTAGCACTTAAGTTGTTGAATTAATTGAGTATACATTTACCATGGTGTTTTACACTTCAAAATTTTATTCCTTTGGTGAAGCACAATGTCAAATTATACTTTAACTTTATTCTCTCTTCCTATCTTGCAAATAATATCTCTTCCTTTTCAAATCCTTTGGCTTTTTGTCTTTCCATGTATAAAAGTTTCTGTGGTAAGTCACTTTTACGATTTTAGTTTGTACTTAGGCCTTTCTAAATACTTTTGATTATATATGTTCCTCAGTTATCCTTGTATTAGTATCTGTGTGTATTGGTGTCTTACATATGTGAGCGTGTGCACACACATACACACACACACACACACACTTTTAGTGTCTTGGTCTACAAATTATAACAGTTCTAGGTTGTTGTTGTTTTTCTCTCTCTCTCTCATGGATGTTGTATTTTCCGGCGTCTTTCCCTGCCTTTTAATTTCTGATTAGAGTATGACTTTCACCTTTTTGGGTGGATATTTCCTATCCCTGTAAGTATTCTTGGGCTTTGTTCTGGGACACAGTTAAGTTAGTTGGAAACACTTTTCATCCTTTTGGGTCTTGCTTTTAAGATTTATTTGGGCAGCACAGGGACAGTGACCAGACTAGCTCTGAGTGCTTCTCGCTACTGAGCAAGACCTTCTGTATACTTTACCCAGTGTCTGTGACTCGGGAAGTCTCTCAGTCTGGCTCTTTGAGATCCCACCACTTTTACCTAGAACCCTTTGGGAGACTCAGTGTCCGCCTCCAGTGTTCCCTCGCCAACCCGTGCGTTGACTGGTGTGCAGCCTAGCATGTGAGCGGACCTTACAGGCCTCCAGGCAGGGCTCCTTCCAGGAGGCTTCTCTGTGAACTCCAGCTGTGCTGGTCTCCACGAAATTTTCCCAGAGTCCCCTCAGCCCAGAGAGGCGACCCGCCACCCTTCCCAGGGCTGCTTCCTGGAGAGTACCCGGCCAGAGAGCTGGGGTGATACTGGGGCTTCCTTCATTAATTCGCCATCTCTCAGCCTCCCTGGCTTTAGTGCCAGCAACCTTCACAGGCTTGAGAACTGTCATTTTTGTGTTTTACCTGTTTGGTTGTTTCAGCCAGGAGAGTGAATCTTGTCTGTTATTTTTATCTTGGTAGAAGTACTATTTTATCTCCCTTGTTCGTGTGAACATTGACACACTTTTTTAGGTTCATCCCAAAATGCAAGTAACTTTATTAGGTCTATCTACCAAAAAAAATACTCAGTAGGAGATTACAGATTTTGGTGAAAAAAATATTGTCATCATTTTTCAACATAAAAGTTTAAATTTTTTCTTGCCACAGTGGAGTTATGTGTATGTGCATTTTATGTTCTTTGGCATTCAGAGAACCCTGAGGTTCTGAATTTTTTAATTCCTTGATGCCTTAGTTTCTCATTTTTTCAACGGTGTCTGTCACTAGGCGAAAAGAAATGCTTAAAATAGGTTATTTTTATTAAATAATTACTTCCAAATGACTTAATTAGTATTTACATCAAAACATATTGAAAAAAACTAAATTTCATTCATAAATTTTAATTTTTATTCACATCATTTATTAATGGGAGCCCTAATTTTCTTGGACGCCATTCAGTTTGGCAAACATTAGGATGGATTTTCATACCTATGATATTAACAGCAAGTACAGGCAGAAACATATACTTGACTATTAGAATTTATTTCTGTCCTTACTGGTTAAGGTCCATGTATTTCCCATGACCTTTGCAAACATGTATGCAGAGGGCTTTTGTATTATATTTGTTTTATGAACTTCTGCCATTTTGTTTCCTGTGATTGGAATCTCACAGTTTAGTAAATAGAGACCTTTGAGAGGAAAGTACAACAACAATATGTGTTGTCTGTTGGTTATGCATGGCTCACCGTGCACTGAGCCAGGTACATTTATGTACCATTTTTATATTTATTTTTAAGTCTATATTATTTTTCATGTTTTTTTAAAATTTTGAATTAAAATTATTTATGGAAGTATTATCTCTGAAACTTAGAGCAAGAAGTAATTCTGAAATTATTGTATCTTAGGTGAAGGGCAAATGTGGCCAGTCCTCTCTGCAGCTTCCCTGTGTTTGCAAGCTGGGGTATCCCTCACTAAGTGATTTGAAAACAGTCAAGGAAATGAAGCATTGATGTTTTCTATTAAATTAGTATTTATGGGTTGATATAAATGCTGATAGTTCACTGTTTTTAAAGCAAGGCTAATGGAACTATAGTTAGAACTATTCTTACATGTATTCTTTTTAATGATTATAAGTGAAAATGTTTCCATTTCTCATGCACAATAATGTTTCTTTGCAAAATGCTGTCCTAATCTTGAAGTCTGCCGATGTTATTAAAAGTAGTTGTATAGAAATGGAAAGATCACTGAACTTGAGAACGAAAATGTTGATTCAATTCCTAAATTAGCTTGTTATTAGCTATAGGACCTTGATAACTGACTTAAGTTAACCTTGGTGACCAATTTACTCATAAATAAAATACAGAAGAAATAATATGCTTTCCATGGTTACCTAAGGATGAGTCCATAGTAAGTCCTTAGTACGTAAGAGCACTTGTGTGGGCCATGGCTCTGCCTTGCTCACTGTCGTAGCCTCAGTTTGGCATCTGGTTCCATGCTTAGTACGTGTAGATGCTCAACAAGCACTTGTTGAAATAACTGTCATTTGACCCAGTAGTTTCACACCCAGTCTTTTTTGCAAGGAGAATAATTCAAGAGGTTTATAATGTCGTCATAGCATAATGATGCAAACATTGCTTAAATAATTGGCAGCAGGTTAGTATTATGAAAGATATACTCTCTCTGAAAAGAAAAATTTGTAATAATGTGCTTTGTAAATTTTTTTTAGGAGGAGCAGAATAGAGGCAAGCCTAATTGGGAGCACCTCAATGAAGACTTACATGTCCTGATCACTGTGGAAGATGCTCAAAACAGAGCAGAGATCAAACTGAAGAGAGCCGTGGAGGAAGTGAAGAAATTACTGGTACCTGCAGTAAGTAATAATTTCCAAATCTTACATTTGGGCCCCAACCCCGTTTTCTGTGTAATTATTTTAATGTTTGTGTTAATAAAGAATAAGTTATTTATTTTTCAGAAATTTTATTGAACTTTAAAATGTAAAAAATAATTTATAACTCACTGTGGTATAGTAGGCAAACATAGACATTGCTCAGATCCTTAAGTGGGAAAGCCTATTTATTTGGGGGGAGGGATATGCTGTGACGGGAGCAAACTCCATTAGTTGTGTGCTTTTCAAAGGTATCATTATCTTTGCACCACTCTGTCATCAGGTAAGAAAGTAGGTACATTAACAGTAGGGTGATGAAAGCTTTTTTTTCTTTTTTTGAGGGAGGAGTAGTTTCTCTTTTTAAACAAGTAATGAGTGTACAGAAAAGTCTATACAACTGATATTTATGTTGGAAGACCCATGTTAGCCTATGGGTTCCAAGTACTCTCCTGCCATGTCATTGGCTCCCATAGAAGAGGAATGTTCCAGGGTGAACGTAATATGGTAATATTATCTTTTAGGGATGAAAGAGCTAACCTTTGTTGATAGCCTGGGCACCATTCTGAGCACTTTGCACGCTTCAGCTCATTTCATGTTTTTTCTAAGATACTAAAAACTGTGAAAGTTCATATTTAGATAGGACCCTGAAAGTAATTTTGGAGGGCGGCATCTCCTGCAGAAAAGACCCCATCTGTCCCTCCACAGTCCCGCTCCTTTTTCTCTTTTCCTCATTTTTACACGACCCTTTTAGGAACTTCTCATTTAGAAATGATGATTATACTCACTGCCAGAGTATTATCTTTTTCAATGGAAAATGAAAAAGAAATTGTTGGTTTTCAAAGTCATGTTAAGTATATATTTTTTATGTTGATAAAAAATGACCAAAATGAGACCCCTAGCTTGTTGTGGAAACACCAGGAGCACTCTTCGCATTCTATCAAACAAAGATTTATTGACATTTACATAAATGAGTGTGGAGTCTGTGTCTGTTGCTCTTCATCCCCAAGACGTTCTATAAATAAACTTACAAGCCATAAATAGTTTCCATGTACTTGACAAAATTAACTGCTTGGAAGAAAAGAATTTCACGTGAATTTTACTCAGTAGGTCTTATAAGGGATATAAGCAGATAGGTTAAATATAAGCTAAAATCTGTAGTTGCATACTATTAAACCATATAACCTTCCTCCTTTTCCTTAATGTGCAATTTTGAAAAGTTTCATAAGAAAGTGCTTTTTTCTAAGTATACTTAATTGTTCGTCCCATGAGCAGAAAAAGTTAACATTATTTTTATTGCCATGTATAACTGAAAATATTCAGCTCACAAAATACAAGCAAATAAGCTCACCTAACATTGGAAATAGACCAGTTGTCTGATAATTAAAACTTTTACTGACCTGTACTCATTCTGTAAGCAACTTTAGTTCTCAAATTTTACTAACCTGGGGAGCTCAGTTGGTTAAGCATCTGACTCTTGATTCTGAGTCATGTCATAATCTCAAGGTTCATGAGATAAAGCCCTCCATTAGGCTCTGCAGTGACAGCTTGGAGCCTGCTTGTGATTCTCTCTTTCCCTCTCTCTCTCAAATAAACTCAAAGAAAGAAAGTTACTAACCTGGGAAAAAGCATCATGTTAGAAGCTGTGTTAGTAACTTGCATGTGTCTTTCAGAAAGTTAATAAATTTCTTTGTGTTTGTTTCCTCCTGTACAAAATGAGAATTGGAATAAATGACTTCTAAGGACCATTTTGGTTTTAAAATAGTCTTTAATATTAAAAGGTGTTAGTAGATTAAAAAATGGTAGAAACTTTTTAAAAATTCATACAATTTATATTTATAAAAATCTTAATGTTTATATTAGAGAGACAGACATGAGTGGGGGAGAGGCAGTGAGAGGGGGAGACACAGAATCCAAAGCAGTCCACCTAACAGACTGAGCCACCTAGGCGCCCCTATACCATTTATATTTTAAAAGAAAAGAGCACTTTTGATGATAAGCCTATCTCCTGTGGAAGTACTTTTTAGGGTTGTTATTAATTACTACCTCTGAAGTAATAAAACTTTCTTAGAATTACAAATTTTACAATAAAAATACTTTACAGGTTCTGTAAAGAAATTTAATCTTGTAGTACATTCTTTTCCTCTCCATTTCGTCAGAAATGCTTATTGTGACACGGATGCTATGTCACAGAATTTATTTTCAGTAAACTGAACGTTACCATACATGCCTGGTGATGGTGCTATGATAAGCAAAGGTTTAAACAAAACCTTTTATACAGTCCTGAATTGTCCAGCGATTTGGGTTTTTACTTATATAGCTTATTGGGAGGCAGAATGTAAGGTGTTTGAGAGCTGACGTTTTACTGTCTCCCTTCCTCTCACGCAGTGACTGTGAAATTAGATGATATATGAAGAATGCCTAACGTCACACCTACCACGTAATTGTGCCTTTTAGTTTGTGGCAGCTTTTTAACACTGTCTGAATAATAGTGTTTTGTAATTGTATAGGTTTACGTACTGTTCCTTCCAAGTGCTGATTATGAAAGGAATGTATTAATTCAGGATTGAAGAAAATAAAAGTTCCTTCTCAATTCATTATTCTTTTTAAATAAATTGGCTTGACCCTTATTTAAAAAAAAAAATTTTTTTAATTGTAAGGCTCCATACAGAACCCTTTAGTTTATCATTGCTTAACTGTTTTCAAAACAGTATGTTTGGATTGAAAATGCGGACCCATCTTGTTCTTTTGGAAAGAATTCACATATAAATGAATTGGCTAATTTTGATCTTTTTTTTCCTGTCTACATAAAAGTTATAAAGGGAATGATATGGAGACTAGTAATTATTTTGAAATAAGCTGTTGCAGAAAAGAATTACTGCCCTAACCCCATGGGATTGGACTAAGGGTTTTCCAGATCACTGTATGATCGAGAACACATTTCTTTCAGCATTTACATTTTGTGTAATCTCACATTGCCCTCCAGTGAGCTGCAAGGGGATCTTTTTAATGTATTCTTGTGTGTATGAGAACTTTTTGAAACTTTTCTGTGGTTTTCATGTGTCAAAATGTATCTTGAGAGTGGTGATACTCTTGTTCTATTGACCATTTCAGTCTCCCTGCTGAGTTAACATGTCCGTGAACAGTACATGTTCAGTTGTGCCTTTCCTGTCTCTTCAGTGTTCCGTTCTGGGGTTTGACGTTTCTAACTGTTACCAAGTGTCCATAAAAAAAGCAAATTCAGTTAAGTTTATTTCCCGCATCCCTCGGATGTGCTTGCTTCCTTTGCCTGCATTTTTTGCGTCCTTATTTTGAGCCAGGCTTATCCCCACAGCCAGCGTCCGTACTTGTTGTTTTGGGCCCCACAAGTGCTTCCAGACCTTGCAGTCTGTTTCTTAACCTCTCCTTGCTTAAAAAAGCCTCTTGGTGGTTTCTCTCCATGAGGAGAACACAGAATTTTTTACAGTTGCCTTCATTGCCATGCCTTACTTTTCCAGCTTCATTTTTCACTCTGCGCCAAACCTAAAGTACACACACATTCCACACTAGACCCTCACAGATTGAATCACTGTGTGTTTATTTGATTTCTTGAAACTTTAGTCTTCTCCCTTCCAGGCCTTAGAGTTCATTCAGTAAATGTTCACACATGCACTCACTGTGTCGGCTGTTGAGAGTACAGAGAGAGTAAATAAAGCTGACTGAGTACCTGCCATCTTGAAGCTTACCTTCTGCTTGTGGGGAGGTTACAGCTTGGATTAACTGACCTTAAGCAAAAACAGATAGAAACTATTAGGTAATGCTAAAATGTGAAGAAAAATAATGCAGGGTAAGGAGAACCATGGATTAAGGAAATACTGTTTTATAAGGGATGATAAGAGAATGCCTCTCAGAAGGTGACATTAGGAAAAACCACCTAATGAAGTGTAGAGCAATCATTTGGATATCCAAGGGGTTTCTAAGCAAAGACAAGAGAAAGTGTGATGGTCCAGAGACATTTTTGGGGTCTATCAAAGGGGGTCCAGTTCAGTGAGCAGGAGGGAGAGTGGCAGAAGGTGAAGCCAGTGGGGAAGGGTGAGAAGGCAGCTTACACAGGCCTGTAGGCCATGATAGGGATATTAGATTTTAGTCTAATCTAACAGGAGAAGCTATTGAGGAATTTGAGGAGAGGAATAACATGATTTAATTATACTTTAAAGGATCATTCTGAATAGAAAATAGACAGACTTGGAGGGTGATGGAGAAAGCAGAGATGCAAACGCACAAGTATTTGTAGTCCATGAATGAGCTGAAAGTGACATGGACTAGTGTTGAACGTGCTGAGTAGTAATCGATTATGGATTTGTTTTCAGGGTAAAGCTGTCAGGAATTTTGGTGGATTGGTTGTTGTGTATACGTGAAGGCTTCAAGGTTTTCACACTGATCGGTTGAACTCGTCTCCTGTCTGTACTGTTAGAGGAACAGGTTTCAGGGGCAGGGAAAGAAATTGGGCTTGGAAGTGTAAACGTTGAGAAACTAAATGTTAAATGGGCATTTGTTAATAATAGTAAGGTTAGGTAAGAAGATGGGACTAGAATATGTCAGTTTTGAAGTTGTCATCATATCAAAAGCTTTTAGAGCCAAGAGCTAGAATGGTATCATCTAAGAATTGGATAAAGGTGAAGAAGAATCTGAGGACAGAGCCCTGGGTATGTCACCAAGGAGAGGGGGATCCAGAGGAGACCTGGGAGGGGAGAGGAGAGGAGCCACTGAGGTTGAAGGAAAACCAGGAATGTTGGGGTCGTAGAAGCCAAGTGAGGGAGTTTGTTGCTGAAGATTATTCACTTCAGTAGTGGTCACTGGTGATACAGCCAGTTGATTTGGGGGGAAGGGTGATGAGTTTAAAAGCTTAATTGGCTCTGGTTCAAGAAGGTACTGGACAAGAGGAGGAACTGGAATTTTTTCCCCTAAGATTTTATTATTTAGGTAAATGATCCTTTCAGTACTCTTGG